GTCTCCCTGTAGCCCCAGCTGTCCTGGAACTCACTATGTACACCAGGCAGGCCTTGAACTCACAGAGATCCCCCTGCCTCTGTCTCTCGAGTGCTGGGATTAAAGGTGTGCACCACCACACCCGGCTCATTATATATTTTTTTTAATTCACATTTTTGGTTGATGGTTGCAGTGTTATTTTCTCTATTTCTTTAGCCTTATTGTGTATTCTCAGTAACAATATAAGATCGTTACTGGGTCCTCTCAGTGTACAAATATTGTTCAGTTTATTATAGTTTCTATTTCTAAGTCTATTCTGAGGTCTTTGGGAGAGGCTTGCACACTCCAGTCCTGGGAAGCACTTCAGAATTTTTAGGTGATATATTGTGATTTTTCCTTAAACTCTTTAGCAGGGAGTGGTAGCATTGCTGGCACTGACCACATTTAAAGTTCATCTTACTGTCGTATTGAGTTTTAAAATCTTGAATAATGTTGTCATAAGAGATCAGCTTCCCAGAACACATTCTTGGAGATTAAGACAGTGTGATAACTTGGAATTAGAAGCATAGCAATAATGTCCTAGAAGCCAGTTCTTTTTCATTGTGATTGCCTAGTACTGTAAGGACTCTCTCCCTTGTCTGTTTTTAATGTTCTTCCTTGAGGGCAATCAGGTCTTATATTTCTTCATATTTCTCCCCAAGGAGACACCCCCAGCAGCCACTGTAAGAGTGTAAAATACAAAAATCAGGGGCTGGAGAGATGGCTCAGCGGTTAAGAACACTCATTGTTCTTTCAGAAGACCTGGGTTTGAATCCCAGCACCCACATGGCAGCTAACAACTGTTCTAACTTCAGTTCCAGGGGATCCAACAGCCTCTTTTGTCTTCTGCGGGCATTGCATGACACGGGTTCACTCACCTACATGCAGGCAGTACACGCATACACATAAAAATAAATAAAATATTTAAAAAAATCAAATATTTCCTTTTAAGGCAAGATTTTGCAATTGCTTATTTGTGAGGCAGTCATTTTTTCTTCCCATGATCAGTGTGGTGGTCACTATCAGTTTCAGAGCCATGGAGCGATCTTCTAGCTGGCTAAAGGTTGCATGTTTCATTCCTATTCAGCATAACAGGCAGTGCTTTCCCTTTCATTTTTAATTTAAAATTGAAGTAACTTTATGTTACTCATTATTAGGAACAAAATAACTCTACCACCAGCAGTGCTGTGCTAGAAAAAACAATTTTCCCATATTATCTCCTTTTCTGATGCTACATTTAAAAGTTGACTTACCACAAAAATGACTTGTGAGAATCTGAAGGTATTCATCTTAATCACCCCTCCTAAATGTTCAGAAAAATGTATTTAATAAAAATCAAATGTCTTAAAAAATTATCTTTTCTTTTTTTTCCCCCCCTTGGGTCAAATGACTCAACCACAAAGCCAGAGGTTTATTAGCTACTGTTGTCTTTGTAGGTCCAGTATTGTTTTGCGGCCATGTAAGAGAAAGATACTGTTTTTGATTTCCTATCCCTCTGGCATTACTGTTACATCCTGTTATGTGAAAATTGAGAAGAGATAGCTATTATTAAAGATCTTATCTTAAGCGTTTATAATAAACTAGATGTGTTTAGCAGCACGACAGCATTTAGTTTTTATTTTAAAGAGAAAATTTATATATTTATTGTAACTAATTCATAAAACAGTAGAAAAAAAGTAGGTAATTTGTCTGATGTCTATTTGGAAAGCATGTTATTTGCTTTTAGGTACTAAGAAGTATAGAGAGACTTAGTTCCAGAGGGTTTCTTTTTTTTTTTTTTTTTTGTCTCGGTCTTTTTGAGACAGGGTCTCTCTGTAGCCCTAGCTGGCCTTGAACTCACAGAGATCCATCTGCCTCTGCCTCCGGAGTGCTGGGATTAAAGGTGTGCACTACCACGCCCGGCAATTGTCTAAATTTTTATAGTGAAGTATATACCATTAAATATCTTGAATATTACACTCCTGTCTTCGCTTGTTTATTGCTTTGAGCATTGATTCAATGGTGCCCATGCTTGTTAACCATTTTCCTAGCAGCTATAGAGCTTGGCACAAAACAGCACAAGGTAAACGTTTCATCAATGCGTGAATGTTGGATCCTGTAGGGAGGTAGTACTGAGGAAACTGAGACCCAGAGAGGTAGAACCTGGGCTCAAGAATGCAGCAGCAACCTATTTTGATCTCGCTTTTGACCTCCAGATGCCTCTCTGCCCCTTTTGGCAGGGACTTACTCTTCGGAGAGACCCCTGAACCAAGGGAGATGCCTCCTAGTTGCAGCAGCACTTCCCCCACGCCTCGCTGGCCACGCTCCAGGATCTCTCGGGCTCCAGGCCTGATCCGGGGGCCATGGGGAGGGTTGGAGTCCAGGTCGCGATCCGAAGTCAGCAGGTCCAGCTTCAGCGAGTTTCCCTGGAGGCGCCCCTGGGCTGAGGACCCAGCGGAGAGCCAACTCAATGATAGGGCGGAGTCCTCGCTCCGCCAGGGCACCCCGCAACTCAGGTCTTTTTGAGACAGGGTCTCTCTGTAGCCCTAGCTGGCCTGGAACTCACTATGTAGACCAGGCTGGCCTTGAACTCACTGAGATCCACCTGCCTCTGCCTCCCAAGTGCTGGAATTAAAGGTGTGCGCCACCGCGTGTTTCCTCTTTTGTACATATTATATGTTTAAGTTCTGCAGTTTGCTTTTCATTAATTTTTATGATAATAAAGACAGATATGGGGCTTGAGATGGCTCAGCAGTTAAGAACACTAGCTAGTCTTGCAGAAGACCTGGCTTCAAATCCCAGCACCCACATTGTGGCTAGCAACTGTCTATAACTCCAGTTCCAAGGGATTCAACACCTTCTGTCCTCCGCAGGCACTGCATGACACAGGTGCACTTATATACATGCAGACGTAACACTCACACATTAAAGAAAACCAGACAGTTCTATAAAAGAATTTAGGGTCTTTGCAAGACAAACTAGTATATTGGCTTTACCTAGAATAAAAATATGTTCATATTTTTTTTTGTTATATAACATTTAAAAATTTGGTAAATCTAATATTTTATGCTTCATGAAGTTTTCAAGCTTGTTTAATAAAGTACTAAATATTTGCTAATGGGTTACTGGAAAACTTCTAAAACTAGACATTAATGTTTTTGTCAGGAGGTAATTGATACCTATTCTAGTATTTTCTATAAATCCCCTATTTTGTATTACAGATCATCACAAGACAAAAGAACACTTCTTGTCAATTGTCAGAATAAGAGTCTTTCACAGTCTTTTGAAAATCTTCTTGATGAACCAGCATATGGCTTAATACAAGTATGTTTCCTAAATATATCCTCTATTTAAATAGCATCTTGACTCCATTATTTATATGTCCCCTTCCTCTTGCTTTTTCAAAGAGAGTACAGAATGAGGCAGGTATATATGTGCAATCTTTATAAAACTATACTCTGTAGTTTTATAAAAGTAATAACATCACATGGTCTGTATTACTTGGAAAACCTCAAAACTTCCTTGATCCTTAATTAGTCTGAAGCCAGGTCTTTATCATAATGCTGAAATAGGAGAACAGTAGATTTTAATAATTTTCATTTTAGGTGAAGAATTACAGAGGAAGCTACGTAAATTGATTAATGATCAGTTCAGGGAAAAAAATTGGACCTGTATTATTTTTTTTAATATTTATTATTTTTATTTTATGTGTATGAGTGTATTGCCTGCATGTAGGTAAGTGCACTCATGTCGTGCAGTGCCTGTGGAGGACAGAAGAGGCTGTCGGATCCCCTGGAACTGGAGTTACAGACAGTTGTTAGCTGCCAAGTGGGTGCTGGGATTTGAACCCGGGTCTTCTGCAAGAACAACCAGTGTTCTTAACTGCTGAGCCATCTCTCGAGCCCCATGGACCTGAATTTTTTATCTCCCATTTTAATAGGTTTTGAGACTAGGGTATGTCTGACTCCTTTGAATGTGCTTGACTGAATATATTGCCAAGAATGCACTGAGCATGTACAGAATTTTAGTCAGCTTACCATATAAACTATGGAGATAGTTGTTTTTATTCACTTCTTCATGTAGCAAATGCTCAGTGCTTACATTTCTGCCACTTTTTCTTGGCTTTGGAGCTGTAAAGATTAACAACATAAAATGGAAACTTAGGAAGAAGGACAAGAGGGCTCAGCACTCTAAAAAGTGAGGAAGCAATTCTTCTGAGAATAATTATTTAATAAGTACCTATTTTTGGTAAATATAAATGGGCAGGTGCTTTGGGCTTTGAAGTAACCCTAGGACTTAACAGTTGAAATGCTGTTTGCTATTTTTTGGGACAGTTCTTTCCCAGAAGAAATTATTCTTGTTAGAATGATTTGTAGATTAGAATATCAGCTCTTATTTAAATATTATGAGCTTTCAAGTTTAACTATCAAATATTTTGTGTTAGTTGGTAGTACACATTTTAAGAAATACATATTATTTTTTTTTGTGAAGGTAGGCCTGCTAGACAGAAGAAAGCTGTTGTGGGCCATTCACCACTGGAAAGTAAGCACTGTATACATTCTGATGTATGCAGATTGAAGGAAGCCTGCAAAGCATTTGTTTATCTGCAATTCAATCAGTAGCATTAACTTGTCATTTATTATGCTATTTTAACCAAATGAAAAGGTTGGTTTAAATTTAAATTTTTCTTTGTAGAAAAATTAAGATAATCTTAGAATACTCTGTTGTAGTTCTGATTTCCCTCTTTTTAAAAGCTTTGCTTTTTTGCTACTCAGAGGATACTTTTATTCCTTATTCAAATTAATAATGCTAATTATTTTCCTTTCTGCTACATAGAAAATTAAAAAGGATCCTTATACAGCAACTATGGTAGGATTTTCGAAAGTTACAAACTACATTTTTGATAGTTTGAGAGGCAGTGATCCCTCTACACATCAACGACCACCTTCAGAAATGGCTGATTTTCTTAGTGATGCGATTCCAGGTCTGAAGATAAATCAGCAGGAGGAACCAGGATTTGAAGTCATCACAAGAGTGAGTGGAGAGTTGTGGGACCAGAGTTCCTAATTTGTTAATAGGAGAATGGACTGAATACTACAAATACAGAAAAATTAATTTTGATGACACCCGCTTTACTGTTACCTATTTGTAACAGTTTTTTCTGACTGATAATATATGTGACAGTACCATTCTGCCACTAAATTCTTGGTTTATTTTCTCTTATACTGTTTCTTAATGTTTATCTCCTTTGGTTACTTTCTCTCAGTAATGAATAGATTGTTTTGTGGAGCGTAGAGAAGGGAATGATCACTGTGTCTGTGTGTTGTCTCTTTACTTTTGTTCATAGTTTGCCTGTTTCCTCTGTAGGTGTCAGAGGCAGATAGTCATGACACTCCTTTAGGGCTTCTGTTCTCGATATGAATCTTTTTAAGTAAGATGGATTTGGGCCTGAATTATGGTAAATTTTTATATAATGTTCAACAAGGCTTTTGAATTTGCTGCAATTCTAGGCTTGCTCATAGTTAGAAAATTATAAATATCTAAGTTGTAGTACTTAATTAAAGGTTTTAATCATTAAATGGTATTTTTAAATAACCACCATCTGTTAATTGAATGAAAGCAGTAGATATTGCCAAGTGGAATTAGTGGATCATGAATCAGGTCTGAGAATTTCAAACTTTAGTTTGGAAGAAAAGCTAATTATAGATTATGATTGATGGAGCAATTATATATTGTCTCTTTTTAATAATATGCCGTTTGATTTGAAGGGTCTCGTAGAATTTGTGTTAAATGTTTTGTACTTAATTGAATATCTAAATAGCAAAGACTTTTCTTTAAATGACAAATATTTTTATTTTTCATATTTTAAAAAATGTTATTTTTATTTTATGTGTATGAATATTGCCTGCATGTGTGCATCTGTGTCATGCAGTGCCCGCGGATGTCAGAAGAAGGTGTCAGATCTGCTGGAACTGGAGCTACAGATGTTGTTAACCACCATGTGGGTGCTGGGAATTGAACCTGGGTCCTCTGCAAGAGCAGTCAGTGCCCCTAACTGCTGAGCCATCTCTCCAGCCCCCAAATGACAAATACTTTTAGTCTATGGACTCTCTGAATTTGCAGCTCAGTCATTTATGTTTTATAGGAGGAAGTATATGCAGTGCCTGCTAATCGAGCTCATTAACTAAACATTGGAAAACAAGGAAACATATTGGGAGTATTAGAACTCACATCTGAAAAGTAACAGTTTCAAGCTAGTTTCCACATGCCTTGATTTCATGTCACTGATTTGAGAAGTACTTGTATTGTTTCTCTTATTGTAGATTGATTTGGGAGAACGACCTGCCGTTCAGAGGAGAGAGCCAGTATCACTGGAAGAATGGACCAAGAACATTGATTCTGAAGGAAGAATTTTAAATGTTGATAATATGAAGCAGATGATATTCAGAGGGGTAATTTAAGCCCTCTAATACTGAAAATACTATAAACTGCCAGCATTCAGTGGTTGTTCTTTGTTTTCTTTTAGAGGAATATGTCTTAAAATTTCTATATTGGGTGGAAGATTAAGGTGCTTACTGTGTCCGTGGTATTGAGTACAGAGATGTTGGGAAGCTTAGGGGAAGTTAATCTTTCTTTGAGTTCTGTGGGTTAGGTGCAGAAGGTTTGTGCCAGTAGCATTTACCTTACCCAGTAAGGTTGAACTTAGAAAGACTTATCAGCCCCACTGTCTACCATACAGTCTATTGATATTTTGTATTATTTAGGCATCCTAAATAATATATCTTATATGCTTATATCTCCAGTATCTGGATATAGAAAACAAGACAGTAGTCATTGAATTGAATTTTTTTGGCGTATAAAACTTAAGTACAGCCAGGTCCATGTGGTGGCGCATGCCTTTGATCCTGGTGCTTGGGAGGCAGGGGCAGGCTAATCTCCGTGAGTTTGAGGCCAGCCTGGTCTACATAATGAGTTCCAGGCTGGCTGGGGCTACAGGAAGATCCTGTCTCAAAAAGATAAAAAAAAAAACAAAAATCAAAAAACAACCAAATAACAACAACAAAACAATCCCCCCCCAAACCATAAGTGTTCTCCCATTTATGTTCAGGTTTTGTGAATTTATGGTATTCTATTCAGTTTTTAAAAAACAAATGTGATTAATATGAATACTTTTTTTCAGGGTCTTAGTCATTCATTAAGAAAGCAAGCATGGAAATTTCTTCTGGGTTATTTTCCTTGGGATAGTACCAAAGAGGAAAGAACGCAGTTACAAAAACAAAAAACGTAAGTAAATGGTGTTTTTGTGTGCTTATCAAAGAAATGCAAGTAAACCAGACATTTAAATTATGGCTTCTGTATAGGGATTTGGAATAGACCCGGTAATTGGAAAATAATTTCATTTCATTATTTTAAGTTTAAAATTATAAGTTCTGTAATTATTTCAAATAAGAAACTCTAGAAGGGCCTTGTTTCACTTATGTGTGTGAATGTGTAAAAATATGGTAGAATATTCTAGTCCCTTGTGCTAGTTTTGTATAAGCCTTTGTATACTTAAAAGACCAGTATTTAGATGTACACTAAAATATTTGTCTTGATTCATTTTTTAAAAAAATATTTTTATTTTATGTGTATGAGTGTTATGCCTGCACATAAGTAAGTGCATCCGTGTCATGTAATGCCTGTGGAGGACAGAAGAGGCTGTCAAATCCCCTGGGACTGGAGTTATGGACAGTTGTTAGCTGCCATGTGGGTGCTGGGATTTGAACCAGGTCTGCAAGAACAGTCAGTGTTCTTGACCACTGAGCTGTCTCCCCAGCCCGATGATTCATTTTTATAATTATGAAGTTATAGAATTGTGTCAAAAGAAGTGTATTTACTATTTAGATGACCTTAAAGTTATTTTCCTGGTGCTCATACTCTGGTCACACTGAAGAGTGTTTCTGTTTTATTTCTTACACTTGAAGAGAAGGGTAGCCAACTTTCCAGGTGTATTTCTTGTTCCTGGTTTCAGTCTAGCCTTTGATTTAAAACTGTTGTCAATCATTATGTACATATCTAAAGCCTTTATCTGTTTCAGTCCTTCTTATATATTTTTAAATTAACAATTTTTTTTGCAGTAAACTGGAAGCAAAACAACTTGTAAAGTTATGTTTTAAAAAAGTCATTTGGATTTATAATTATTCAGAAACTTTGTTGAGTAAAATATTTAATAACAAGTAAATTTAGAAATTATTTCAAGAATTGAGGTTTTCTTTAAAAGCATACCTAAAATGTAATAGTTAAGTTTATTACATAAATTTTACTTTGTTTTCACTCATCTGACTTTAAACATGTCACTGTCATATTTATAAACTTAAATGCCATTAACCTCATACTTTTATATAGTCTGTGTGGAATGTTAAAACTGTTAACAGTGTTAAAATTGTTAAAAATCAAGTTTCAAATAGGTTCCTTCCATATAAAATTGTTTTCTATAGTGATGAATACTTCAGGATGAAACTGCAGTGGAAATCTGTCAGCGAGGAACAAGAGAAGAGAAATTCAAGGTTAAGAGATTATAGAAGTCTTATCGGTAATTTTTTCTTAATAACTTTGGAAATGCAAAAGGTTATACATTGGATTTATTTGATAAAAGAAGCTAAGATCCATGATCATAGTATTAGAACTCAAAAGAGAATCCAAATTGGAAAGTACATGAGAATGTGCATTTATGTTGTTGTTTCCACTTCTAGTAGGTATATGAATTCAGCCATTGTATAAGCAGCAGTGTCCTTACTTCCACTTCCAAAATGTGAATTAAGAAAAGATGATTTGTGTGTTTATTCCATCTTAAAAGATCTACCATTTTTATATTCACTATGAAAGCTATGTGTTTATTATGGCAAAATTAGAAACTATAGGTGAACAAAAAGAAAATAAAAATTTTGTTTCTCTTATCTGGGGATAGTTATAGATACTAGTCTTTTTTTTTTTTTATACCACTAGATCTTCTATAAACTGCATATATTTCATTTTTTAATTGAACAATTCCAAAGAGAAAACTTTTGAACTTGAACATAGGATGTTTACTAGGGAATAACCATTCTCTAAGAAAAGAGATTGGTTGAGAAAGTTTTTAGTATGAGACCATTAGACTTTATTCCAAACACTTAGTAGTGGGTTATCTGGCTCCTATGGTAAAGATCAAGTGTAAGTTATTGAGGGCTGCATAGTTAGTGCTGTACATGCAAGTTTCAGTTTATAATTTGTTCTATAGCTGAGAAAACTGAGCACTGAGCACATGCACATAGATGACCTGTCGAGTGTCAATGGTTAGTGTGCAGGGTCCAGATGTAGTAATCTTTAACTCTCATTGCACTGCATTTATATAATTTTTACATAGTAGTAGAGCTTAGTTTTTTAAAAAATATTTATTATTTTTATTTTATGTGTATGAGTGTTATGCTTGCATGTAAGTAAGTACACCTGTGTTGTGCAATGCTTGTGGAGGACAGAAGAGGCTGTCGGATCCCCCTGGAACTGGAGTTATGGACAGTTGTTAGCTGCCATGTGGGTGCTGGGATTCGAATCTGGGTCTTCTGCAAGAATAGTCAGTGTTCTTAACCGTTGAGCCATCTCTCCAGCCCCTGAACTTAGTTTTGATATTGAATTGGTATTTGGATATCTATAGGGTCATAAATACAGAAGATGTATTGTTACCTCTACTCTAGCCACTGCCACCCACCCATGGAAGAGAGAATTGTTTAATTTTGCTGGATATGGTTGTGTTCACTTGTATCCATTCTTTAGGGAGGCTAAGGCAGACAAATTGAAGAACTAGAAGCCCAAACTGCACTACAAAGAGAAAGTATACCAGGCCAGCCAGAGTTATGTAGCAAGACTGTCTCAAAAAATAAAAACTCCTCTAAATTATATTTGGAAAGTTCAGCATAATTATGATTCATTAACTTTTGTGATATGAAATACTGGCAGTCATTTTAACCCCCCCAAAGTAACTTATACTACATAACTGTCCTTACTCTGGTTAAGGCAAATGGTTGGAGATCCTGAGTCGGGGTTGTCTAAAGTGTCCACCTGAAGGCATCTGCTGTTTCTCGTTTCAGTAGAAAAAATGGTGATGGATTATGCCCCCCCCACCCCCTGGTCAGTTGCTTGGACATGAAATATCCAAGATAGAAGGGACACTAGAAGGCAACTGATTCGGTAGTTTTAAAACTTATTATTTTACATGTATGAACGTATTGCCTGTATACATGTAAGTTATGCAATGCCTGCGTAAGTCAGAAGAGGGTGTCTGATCTTCTGAAACTGGAGTTGAGTTGCAGACAGTTGTTAGCTGCTGTGTGGGCGCTAGGAATTGAACCTGGGTCCTCTTCAAGAGCAGCCAGTGCTCTTAATTGCTGAGCCAGCTCTCCAGCCCCATTTTTTTGTGTGTATGAGTTTTTTGCCTGCATGTATATAAGTGCACCGTGTATGTAATGCCTGTAGAGGCCAGAAGAGGGAGTTGGATTCTCTGGAACTGTAGTTACTAGTGGTTGTTAGCTGCCATGTGGGTGCTAGGAACTGAATCCAGTTCCTCTGTAAGTGCAGCCAGTGCTCTTTAATTGCTGAACATTCTTTCCAGCCCTGATTCAGTATTTTAAGCATCCCCTTTTCCTACATGTCATACCCTTTTCCTATTACATTAAACAATAGTGATGATAACTCATCATCTCTAGATAGTTTGTCTTTTTTAAAAATAGTCTGCCCCCCCCCCAAAAAAAAGTCGGGCATGGTGGCGCCCACCTTTAATCCTAGCACTCGGGAGGCAGAGGCAGGCAGATCTCTGTGAGTTCAAGGCCTGCCTGGTCTACGTAGTTCCAGGACTGCTAGGGCTACAGGGAGACCCTGTCTCAAAAAGACCAAAAAAAAAAAAAAAAAAAAAAATAGAGTCTTCTGTAGTCTAGGCTGGCTTTGAACTCTTAATCCCTCTGTCTCCACCTCCCACCCAGTTTAAATCGCTATGATTTGAATTGAGACATACTTATATAGATTGCTCACTTTCAGAAGAAAATAAATTTGAAGCCCAGAAAAATTAGTGAATTGTTTTAAGCCATCTGTCTACATAGTTCCATGGTTCAAACTTAAACTCAGATCTAGTTCTTAATTTAAGTGGCTTAATTTTTAAAAAATTTATTTTCTTTATGTGTATAAATGTTTTGCTTGCATATATGTAGGTGCACCCATGTTGTGTACTGCCCATGGAAGACAGAAGAGGGCATTGGATCCCTTGGTACTGAAATTATGTATAGTTGTTAGCCACTGTGTAGGTGCTAGGAACCAAACCTGGATCTTCACTGTCATCTTTTCAGCCCCAAGCATTATTTTTCTATAATATTTTTTCAGAGTATTTTTAATTTTTATTTATTATTGATTTATGTGTATGGATGTATGCATGTGGTATATGTACATTCTCATGTGTGTGTGTGGAGGCCAGAGGTCAACATTGGGTATGTCTCTCCATTGCTCATGTGCAGCCAAAGTTAGAAATCACTAAATAAAGCCTGGAATTTCTGGGTCATGCTCATACACATGTGTATACACCAACATGTATGCACATGCACACACATACATACACCCCCCCCATGTGCAGGCTATAGGCCTTGTGGATTATATCAAGAGTTGGATTTGTTTTAAGTATGAGGTGAAACTATTGGAACATTTTAAGAGTTATCTTTTTTTATATTTCAATATAAATTTTTTTGCTACTGTGTGGAAATATGAGTAGGAATAAGGAAGCTAGGTAGGAAGAGGTAAATGTGTAAGCAAGAGATGTGCTAGTGGAGAGTTAGAGGATCATGTCAGATTTTGTTGATAGACTTGACACAGTTTTAGGTATATTGAATATTGAGTGAAATAAGACTCAGTTTCTTGACTTGAGAAATTGGGTGCTTAGTGGTACCAGTTACTGAAATAAGAACTAGGATCTGATGAACTAGGGGTTACACACATACACACATGCACCTTAAGCAGCTAACTTAAGTAGTTGGGAGTGATCTGTTAGATAAAGATTTGTAAATATAATAATAATTTATTTTTTAAAAATATTTTATTATTTTTATTTTGTGTGTATGAGTATTGCCTGCATGTATGCGAGTGCACCTGTGTCGTGCAGTGCTGCGGAGAGCAGAAGAGGGCTTTGGATTCTCCTGGAACTGGAGTTAAGGATGGTTTGTAGCTGCCATGTGGGTGCTGGGAACTGAACCAGGGTCCTCTGCAAGAGCAGTCAGTGCTCTTAACCGCTGTGCCATCTATCCAGCCCAAATAATTTATTTATTTTTATTTTATGTGTATGAATGTTATGCATGCGTGTAGGTAAATGCACCCGTGTTGTGCAATGCCCAAGGAGGACAGAAGAGGCTGTCGGATCCCCCCGGAACTGGAGTTACGGTCAGTTGTTAGCTGCCATGTGGGTGCTGGGATTCGAACCCGGGTCTTTTGTAAGAACAACCAGTGTTCTTAACCACTGAGCCATTTCTCCAGCCCCATGATTTGTAAACTTTGGTATTATCAACATAAATATCTAGAGGATAAATGATATTACCTAGGGTATAAAAGTGACAGTTAAGAGCCAGATGTGGTGGTGCACAACTTTAATCCCAGCACTTGGGAGGCAGAGGCAGGCAGATCTCTGTGAGCTCAAGGCCAACCTAGTCTATATAGTGAGTTCCAGACCAGCTGGGGCTACAGGGAGACCCTATCTCCAAAATCTCCACCCACCCTCCAAAAAAGTGATAGTTAAGGAGGCCCAGGAATCCCAGACTTTATTCAGAAGTTTCTAACTTTGGTTGCGTATTAGAATCGCTAGGACAGGAGGGATGTGGAGAGATGGCTCAGTGGTTAAGTGTGCTTGCTTCATTTTTAGAGGACCCAGATTCAGTTTCTAGCACTCATGAGAATTGGCCCACAACTTCCTGTGACTCCAGTTCTTTGGAATCCTATACTCTCTTCTAACCTCCTCAGATTGCACACATACAATAAAGTAAATCTAAAAAAAAAAATCACTAGTCGATCTTTTAGGATCACATATTAAGCATTCATAATTCATTAATTGAATAAAGTCTTTACTTGGTGCCTGTTATTTACTAGACTTTCTGAACTATCAGCAAACAAAACAGGCAAAATTCTTGCCCTCAGGGAGCCTCTATTCCTGTGGGGAAGAACAGAAAGTGAACAAGATAAGTAAGTAACGAGATCTGTTAGTGAAAAGTGCTAAATAGAGAAGTAAGGCAAGGAAGAGGATTAGCAGGTTTGTATGCTGTTGCAGTTTTAACTTGGGAAGTCAGGGAGAGTTTTTGTTGGGAAACTGACGTTTGAGGACAAGCTTGGAAAAGGAGAGATATGAGCTATGCTGATAGATCTGTACGTGAAGGGCATTCTCAACAGCAAGGAACAGCATGTGTTAGACTTGGTTGTGCCTCAGAACCTTTACATATTTGAGATACAAGCATGAAGGCAAGCATGGCTGGACTGAGTTGGGGTGGAATATAGAAAGTGAGGAGGTCAAGTGAGTTGGTGGAGGGTTAGACAGAGATTTGCATAGAGGCTTCAGGGTGATTGTAGGACCAGCTTTTACTCTGAGATAAAAGGGGATTTTGAGCAGTAGTAACATGAACATGATCTCCTGATTTGTGGTTTTTCAGCACATTTGGGCTGCTGTGTGGAGAATAGCTCTATAGGGAAAAAATGGAAGGAGAAAGACCATTTGAGGCGATTGCAAAGTTCTCTGTGAGAGATGGTGGTTGTTTGAACTAGGAGACTAGCAGCCAAGTGGGTGAGATTTGTATAGGGGCTTGAAGAAATTGTGGGCATATGCCAAGCAACTCCCTGAATGAAGGGCATTTTGGGCTGAAGGAGATGGCAAAGTCTAGGCTTGTTTCCGCTCAGGACTTCTGAATGTTTGAAGAACAAACCATGGCTAGAATGGAGTTGGGTTGGGGAGTAGAATGAGCTGGGTGAGAGACCAGAATTTTGGTTTCTATATGTATTTTGAAGATTTAGCTAACATGCCAGTGTGAGACATGGAAAGCAAGGATGACTCAAGGTTTTTAGGGTGAATAACTAGAGAAGTGGATTTGCTATGCTTTACTAAGGTAGGAAAAAGAAAGAGAGAAGTTTGTAGGGGATTCTTTGAATTCTATTTTGGACAATTTTGAGGTGTCTGTTGGGTGTCCACAAATTAATATGCCTGTAGGAGGGACTGTGAAAGGCTGGGTGAGTAAGGAGCTGAAGATAAATTTAGGGTCATTAACAAACTGGTTATGGGACTATGTGAAACTAGGACTTACAAAACTAGATAAATTTACCAAGGAAATAAGCTCAAGTACTGAACTGTTAAGGTACTCTAATTTATAAGTAGGAAAATTTTAGAGAAATCAGGAAAGTAAGAGAGGAGGATGCCAACATGAGAGTTTATTTTCCTAAAAGACAAACAAAGAACGTGTTTGAGGAGAGTCACTGGGATGTCATGAAGGTGATGACTTTCACGTTATGATGCTTTCACATTAAGGTCACTGGAGATTTTTATTTTAGGGAAGGTTTTGTGGATTGCTGGGTGAGCAAGCTGATTGGGTTTGTTCATGAGAGGGAAAAGCAAAGAACTTGGATATAACACATACAACTTCAAAATTTTTTTTCTAAACAGATGGAGAGAAAATGGGGCAATAGTTAGAGGGGAAAGCTGGTTTAAAAAAGGTTTCAATGATGATAAAAGAAGCAACAACATGATTGAATGCTATGTGGTCCAGGAAGGAAGAACAACTGACCAAACTTGAGAGGGAGACAAGAATTAGCAGTGCAGCTAGAGAAGAAATTTCCAAATCCTTTGTAGCCACTGATGATGGAACAGGAAGAGGGACTGCTCATTTATAGTGATAGGAGAGGGGGAGATGAGACTGAATTCCCATGCAGTTTTTTTTTTTTTAATAAAAAACAATTTTATTTTGTGTGGGTGTGGGTGTGCATATGCCACAGCATGCATGTGGAGGTCAGAGGACAACTTTATGTAGAGTTGTTCTTTCCTTCTGGGGATTGAATTCAGGTTAACATAGTTGTGTGGCATGTCCCTTAACCTGGTGAGCCACCTCACTGGCTTCCCATGCATTTTTAGAATCGTTGGGACCCTGTGGAAGTTTTCCTCAAGTACTTTATCTTTTCTTATAAGAAGTATGTAAAATCCTTGTTGGACAGCTAGGATGTGGGAAAAGATAGAGGCTTGAGGAAAAGAGAAAAAATAGTTATATAAATAGGGAGAGCAAATGGACCAGAAAAATAGTGCATGATTATTACCAGGCAGAATGAAGATCCCACTTGAGGTTAGTAATAAGGAATATCAAAACCAGCATGATTATGTTTTTCCTTTAGTCTTCTTTTGCTGCAGAAGATAGGTACTTGGATTTAACTAGGGTTTCAAAACACAAGTACTCATTTTCTTTATAGAAACAGCTTATAAAATATCACGCCCCCGCAATAGTGGGATTGAACCTAGAGCTTCACTCATGCTAGGCAAGTGCTCTACCACTGAGCTATAGCTCCAGCCCTAAAATAGCACTTTTATCTAAAATTTTTGATCCTTTAAAAAATTTTTTTTTGTTTTCTGCCTGCCTCGTAAATATGGTCTGTATCCACAGAAGAAGGAAGAAGTAGTGATAGTGGATGAGCATATGAACAACTTTTTACTGTGTTTAGTATACCCACTAAGTGCTAGGAGTATAGTTCAGCTGATGAGTCCCTGTGTAGTATGCTTGAAGGCCTGAAACAAACAAAACGAAAGACAATATTTTTTATGTCATCGTAAAATACCTACTAAGGAAAGGAGTATTAGGGGATAGAAAATGGGTAAGAGAACAAGAAAGGGCCAGTGGGATGTTAGTGATGAATATTATCTAGATATAGCATACTCTATGCTATATGAAAATATTATGAGAAGTACCTTTTTTATAATTTTTTAAAAGCATAAATCTAAGGCTGATATTCTATAGTGGCATTCTAACTATGTAATGTGTGCTTGAACTAATAAAATTTTTTATTTTTCAACTATGAAATCAAAATGAAGCATTTGACATTTAAAATTAAAACTTCCTATTTATAACATGCGTATTTTAGGTATTAGTTTTGCTTATTTAAGAATGCATCCTCAGTTCTTTAGATAATGTGCTTGCTTTTAAAAATCAAATGTGGCCCCGGCAGATAGCATAGTGGGTCAAGTGCTTGCAGTGTACATATGAGGACCTGAGTTTGAGTCTCTAGAACCCACACAAAGCCAGGTCTGCCGTCCCAGTGCTCCTCCAGCAAAGTGGGAAAGGAGACAGGAGGATCCCCAGAAACCTATGAGCCAGCATGCTTGGTGTATGCAGGGGCAAACATTGAAGACTGATATCCAAGGTCATCCTGTGACCTGTACATGTGCACTGTGGCAGTGTGCACCCCCCCCCAAATACAAACATACACAAATAAATAAGTAAATATTAAACTGTATTTTAACAGAAAGCTAGAATGTTCTAATAGTTTAAAAAACTGGTTATATAATCTATACTCATTAAAAGCTACACTATTTGTGAAGTACCTCTCCATTTCTTTGTAAAGAGTTTTGTGGAAGTTTTCTAATTATTTTACTATGTGGAGCATAATTATAGCTTTATAATAGAAATGATTCTATAGTTAATTATTTTGAGTTTAAGATACTTCTGACTGACTTTCTGAGGGATTCAAGTTTAGGAATGCCTTTTTTTTTTCTTTTTTTCTTCTTTTTGGTATTTTTGAGACAGGGTCTCACTGTAGCCCCAGCTGGCCTGGAACTTGCTATGTAGACCAGGCTAGCCTTGAACTCACAGAGAACTGCCTTAGTTTGTGAACTGAGTTGTTGATACTGACTTGAATATACTCGTGGTGATGCTTACATTTGTTTTTAATGCCTAGAAGCATTTCTAGAAATGTATTTTAATTTTTATAATATCCAAATTGGTGATCCTTATGAAAATAAGGCATTAATTTGTCCTAAAGATGATTATGGAATTTGATAAAACAGTTGATACTACTACTCATAGTGAATGAAAAAATTCTGAATGAAACATAGCTCTTTGATTATGGTTGATTAGTTTTTTAATGCTAACTAATATGAATGATTAGTATTGCTTATAATTCATTGAAAATGTTTCCCACTATGTGGTTAAAAATTTCTGTGCTTGTGAAGTTTGCTTATGGAATAGACTGGTTTTTGAAAAATATTTCAGTATGTATTTTTACTGTGTTATTGGTGGGGTTTTCTTTCATTAAAGCATGGCAAGAGGTGAAATTAATAAGAAATTCTGTACTTGTACAATAAACTATAAGAATCTGTGTTTTGGAGGATTTTCAAATGTGTGACAATTTTCCTCTTTAGAAAAAGATGTTAACAGAACGGATCGAACAAATAAATTTTATGAAGGCCAAGATAATCCAGGATTAATTTTGCTTCATGACATTTTGATGACCTATTGTATGTATGATTTTGATTTAGGTAAGTTCTCTACAATCTTGGTTTTAAAAAGACTTCTCTGCACTGATTTTAGATTTTAAATTTATTAGCATGTTTGGTAGCAGTAATAGCTCTGAGGACTAAATTATATGGAGTTTGTTCCATAGGAGACAGAGATCTATAATAAGGGCATGACTCCTTGGAAGAGCCTTAGGTTGCTACAGCAATCACAGGTACACTATGGAGATTATTTTAATTTTTTGAGAGAATTGCAGTGACACCTGCATGGCGCTGCTGTATTAGCTGAAATAGTTAAATGGTTATGTATTTATAAAGCTGAGTTTTTGACCTTTTGACCTTGCTGTGATAAGCAAGTACTATGTGAAAATAAGTGAGGAAGGCGAGAGGAAGACGGTAATACCCACTTGAATTTCAAGGTTTGAGAAGTGACGTATTGCCAACAGGTGCTAAGTTCAGTGGACAGGAACACAGGCTTAATATCTTACCTGAAATGCTTTGAACTAGAAATGTTTCAGATTTTGTAGCTTTTTGGATTTTGGAGTTCACATAGACTTTACTTTGAGCATCACTAATCTAAAAACCTGAAAGTCTGAAATCAGAAATGCACCAAAACCTGAAATACTGAGTCTTTGATTAGCTGTTTGGAATAACTGTGTAGTAAATGGAGCTGTTAGTTACTCCTTTGAGATAAGTTTCTAGGAGAAAAATTACTAAGACATTAGCAATGCAACGAACTGAGAAAGGTTGAGAACTATCATTTGTGTTTTGTATATGTGAAGAAAAATGATTTGAAATCTTAGATGATTGGATTATTTTGTCAGGCTTACCAAAAGTGAGTTGTTAAGACTGGCATGTGAAGTGGGAAGTTATACAGGGAAGGACACCATGAGGGAGAAAATTTACGGACTTAAGGAATCTTTTTTTTTTTTTTTGACAGGATCTCAGTATGTAGCCCTGGCTGACCTTGAATTCACTACGTGGGTTAGGCTGGTTTGGAACTAACACAGATCCACCTGCCTCTGCCTCCCTGGAGTTTGAAATAAAGCTATGTGCCACCATACCTGGCTAGAATTTTTTTTTTTTTTTTTTTTTCCGGTCTTTTTGAGACAGTGTCTCCCTGTAGCCCCAGCTGTCCTGGAACTCACTATGTAGACCAGGCTGGCCTTGAACTCACAGAGATCTGCCTGCCTCTGTCTCCCGAGTGCTGGTGTTAAAGGCATGCACCAGCACGCCTGGCTTGGCTAGAATATTTTTAAGAGAGAAGAGTACTTGAGCTGTTTTTTCCACGCACCAGTCTTTAAATAAGTATAAGAATAAAACTTCTGAGTCACCTACCATGTGAATGATTCCCAGCTAGAGAGCTTTGGACATCTTTTGGAATAACTGATTAGATACTTAGCACACTTAAACCCAAGTGAACCTTGAGTTTTGACTATATTTTCTTCATTGTTTGTGTCTGTGTAAAGGCCCTTGGTTATGGATCTCAAGGTATCAGCCCCTTGAGTGACAATACATTGAGTCACAAAGTTCTCTTTAAAATGCAGAAATGGGGCTGGGGAGATGAGTCAACTGTTAAGAATACTTGCTGTTCTTCCAGAGGACCTGGGTTCGATTCCCAGCACCCACATGGTGGCTAGCAACTCAGTTCCAGGGGATCTGACACCCTCTTCTGGCCTCTGCGGGCTTTGCATGACATGGGTGCACTTTCACACATGCAGACAAAACATTCATACACAAAATAATAAATAAAATGTTTAAAATGCAAAAATGTGCCAGCATTGTGGCACCTGCCTTTTATCCCAGCATTCAGGAGGCAGAGGCAGTGGTTTTTCTGTGATACCAGGCCAGCCTGGTCTGCATAAGGAGTTCAGGCCAGCTGGGTCTACAAGGAGACTTTGTCTCAAAACAAAAAGGGAAAAACAAAACAAAACAAAAAAACTGTAGCCTGTCCTGTCTATCATACCTACAGCAAGCTTCATACTAAATCATTGAAAGCATTTTGGTAGAATGGTTTTCAGGTTGCATGACTTGATTTGACTTTAATTTTAACAATAGCCTTTTGAGGAAGTAAGGATGTTATCCCCACTTGATGAATGAAGTATGTTGGTTCAGAGAGTGACTCAAAGCTGAGCAGGCAGTAAATAAGAGACTCTAATGTTTGATGCTAGTTGACATTCTTACCTCTGTACCTTCAGCACTCCAATTCATTTTTATTTTAATGTGTTACTCTCATAGAGAATAGGACCATTGGTCTCCATGAACAGGTAACATAGTTCTGTTCTCTCAGATGATAATTTTGAGATAGGAATTCACATAAGGACATGCCTTCTGCCAGGAATATAGTTTGAGAAATGTGTCAACTTGCTCCCTCCTACACTCTTTTCCATTCAGGCACTTCAGTTATCTGGAACACCATCAAAGCTCCCATTAATAAATAACTTGGTTTATGAGAAGCTAAGATAGCTTTTACATAGGCTGTGGCTACCTTTCCTGCCCTTAACTCATACTAGATCAGCCTGGGCAGTAAATTTACTGTTATAGGTGATTGCATCATATTGACTTGTTTGATGTCTTAGCCCACAGATGAGATATAGATGTATCTTCATTGACTTCAGTCTTGTTAGGAAGTAGATAAAAATGGTGAAAATCAGACAGAAACTTTAGAATAATTTTTACTTAGCGAATGCAGATATTATGCTTTAGAAGTATCTGTGAGCTATGTTTATTTTTAACTGTGTCATAAAGAGGATCCTGAATAATCAGTAACCTGTTAAATTGTACTCAAAATACTGCCTATAAGAATGTACTAGAATATCTGATGTTTTTTAAAAGTGATTTAAAAATTATTTTTAAATCATTTTTAAAAAATAATTTTGTGTGTGAGAGAGTATTTGGCTGCACATGTGCCACAGTGCTCATATGATGGTCAGAACACAACTTTTTTTTCTTTTTTAAAATTTCATGTGTATGACTGTTTTGCCTGAATATATGTAAGTGCACCCATGTTGTTTGATGCCTGAGGAGGTTAGAAGAGGGTGTCAGATCCTCTGTGACTGGAGTTACAGGCAGTTGTTAGCCTCCATGTGGGTGCTGGGAACTGAACCAGGGTCCTCACCAAAAGCAGCCAGTGCACTTAACAGCTGAGCCATCTCTCTAGGCCCTTAAAATGATTTCTAACCCCCCAATTTTTTGAACTTTATATACTCCCAGGGGATAAGCTTCAGTTACTTGCAAAATTGACCAGTGTGTAAAGTTTTCTTTCCTGTGTATGAAAATGTATACTAGGATGATAAGGAGCCTTTATTCTTTCACATTTCCACAGAAACAAATTTGCTATGAAAGTCATTTTAAGGAAGAAATTGTGGTACTACTGATTAAGATGTCATAAGCAATAGTGCAGATTTCAAGTGCTAGGGATGTTAAACAGCTTTAACCCGTCTTTAATTAAAAGGAATTTGTACGTTAATTCTACCTCATGTATAAAATGAAATAGTTTAAAGGTTACTAGAATGAAGAATAATCTGACTAGTTGCCTCAGCTAAGATTTACAGAAGAAATATGGCAGTGATCTCATGTGAAAGCTGAAGATGTAAAGGATTAAATTAGCTTCTTAGAAAACTTTATTCTTCATAACTTAATAACAAAGCACTTTTTTCACCAGAGGAAAGGTGCTTTGTAAATCTTTGTATAGCACACTTTATACTTTTTCTATCATAGACCATATCCATTCAGACCCAGTAGAATCATTCTTGTTTGCAGTTTGTTGAATTTCAGTTAGATTTTCTGCGTAACTTAATTGGTTTAGATTTAATATTTATTTTTTATTTCACTGTCAGTGCCAGCTTGGAAAGTTCTGATGATAATAACTTAATCTTTCTTTCAACTTGGTTATTCTTTTCTGTCTAGAATTATAATTGGTTGTCTTCCATAGGAACTGGGTATCCTCTTTTATGACTAGCATCTTATTTTCCTACAGGGTAGAGTCATTAGACATAATGGGGTTATATAATAAGATTATATGGAAAGGCATAGCAGTATGTAATAGAACAGAGGTGCACAGCAGATTTAGCTTCACTTTTATTCATAAGGAAATCTTGAGGTGATATGAGTGCCTCTCTGTATTCCATGTTTGATCTAGATTTTCTGAAGAGATCTAAAATTTTATGTGTATGAGTGTTATGCCTATATGTGTGTAAGTGCAGTGCCTGCAGAAAACAGAAGAGGGCATCATATCCCTAGAACTGGAGTTGTTGGATGGTTGTTAGCTGCCATGTGAGTGCTGGGATTCAAACCAGGGTCTTTTGCAAGAATAGCCAGTGCTTGTAACCACTGAGCTATCTGTCCAGTCCCTTAAAAGATATCTATTTACCTGGTAAAAAGAAAGAGGAAAGATAGATACCTTTGTATCATTTCTAGTAGAGGTAGCCTCTCCCCCTTTTCAAGACTTACTAAAGCATATGATTTCCTTGCAGAAAGATTTTTTCTGAATAAAAATGTAAGTTTTGGATTTGCAAAGGAAAGACTGTATTCCATAGACCTTCTAAGTTACCCATCAGGAAGTCTTCATGCTGGGCTTGGTGGCACAGGCTATATTCCTAGCTACTCTGGAGGCAGAGGCAAAAGGGAATGTTGCAAGTTCAAAGCCTGCCTGGGCTATAGAGGGAGTTCATGGCCAGCCTGGTCTACTTAGTGAGACCCTTTCCCAAAATAAAAATAGCAAAAAGGACTGGGGATATAACTCAGTGGTGGTGTTCTTACCTAAGATGTGTAAAGGCCCTGGGTTCATTCACAACACTACCACCAAAACAACACAAAGAAAGTTTCTTAATTTTAATGAATATACAAATGTACCAAAGTTGAGTGGTGGTATACCAGTGAACAGGCTTAGTGTACTTTGTCCCTTTGCTGGGTAAGAGTTGGTGTCTGAAATGACTTGTAAAACAAGGACAGTGAGGGCTTTAGAGAGTAGAAATAAAGAAGCTTAAGGGGCTGGAGAGATGGGTCAGTGGTTAAAAGCACTGGTTGCTCCTGCAGAGGACCTGGGTTCAGTTCCTAGCACCTACATTGCTGCCAGCAATCGTTTATAACTCCAGTTTGAGGTGTTCTAATGCTCTCTTTTGGAGCATATAATGCATGAATATGGTGCAAAACACTCATATACATAAAAAGTTTTAAATATTAAAAAGTTTGACATATCCAGGTGAAAAGCAAAATCAACCTTTTGTTTTTTTAAAAAAACATTTATTTTGTGTGTATGAGTGTTATGCTTGCATGTGTATAAGTGTACCCATGTCATGCAGTGTCTGTGGAGGATCAAAGAGGGTGTCAGATCCCCTGGAAGAATAGTTATGGATGGTTGTTAGCCACCATGTGGGTGCTGGGATTTGAACCCCTGATCTTCTGCAAGAACAGTCAGTGCTCTTTAACTGCTGAACCATTTCTCCAGCCCCAGCATTTTGTTTTTAAGTGAAGGATCTGTAACCTTAGCTGCAGAGCTACTGATGGGATTAAACATAGTTGATAACCTGGTTGGCTAAAGAATAGTGAAGCGAGAGGACAGCACACAGCTCTGATTACTGTTTAAACATGGTACACAATTTTATTTATGATTCTTTTCATTTAAGTTAGCCAGTAGTATACATGCTAGGGTGGTTGAGCCTTTTCCAGTTCTTGGAAGAGGCTCACTTGTTCATGGTAATTTGATACTGGTTACCACTCTGGCCTCATAACTTTCTTTTCCTGGATATCTGGATCATTCTTTTCTCTCTCTCTTTTTTTTTTATTTGCTTTATTACTTCTTCAGAGTTCCTTGAGCATGTACATTTCTCTGGGTTCTTCATCTCTCCTTTCTTATGCTTTTGTACATCTTTTTTCAGTGCTACAAACTTTTTTCAATATATATTTATTGAATTTTTGTGCATTTCATGCAATATATCTTGCTAAACTTAGACAATGCACTCCCCTATAGCCTCCCACTGGATTTCACACATTCTGTCATATACGTTAAGGCCTATCAAGTTAAGCTTGTGTACCCAGATGCCCCTTTGTGTGAGTTTATCTGTCAGCCTATCTAGCATCATTCCCTTAAAGAAGAACACCTCTCTCACCCAGTAGTGATCACCTACACACTCTTAATGGTGGTATCTGCATCAAAACACATCTAGCAGCCATGTACCTGCTTAACATCTCAATCTAAAGCAATCCATCCTTCTCACTTAATTACTAAACTCCCATCTTTTTGTTTTCCTTTCTTCATGAACACCAAATCTACCAATACTGAATCCAAAGGGAAGTGTTTTTTTTCAGTTACATGTGATATGCACAAAAGGATACACAGAGCTTAGGTTTTCAGAGAGTCTTCTTCTTTTTAGGATATGTGCAAGGAATGAGCGACTTACTTTCCCCTCTATTATATGTGATGGAAAATGAAGTGGATGCATTTTGGTGCTTTGCCTCTTACATGGACCAAATGGTAAGAAGAGGGATTTCTGTCTTTACTCAAACTGATTCTGAAAAATTTAGTTCTATTGTCTTACTGTGTAAGATTGGTATTATTATCTAGCCTCTACAGTGGGACTTAAAGCATTACTGCATGCTTCTGTTTCAGTTCTTTTAAATAACCCTTCAAGGGGCTTGGAAATATTGGTATTGCTTTTAATGTAAAAAGTAGATACTGCTGGTAATAATTGGAATTTAACATCAACAAATTACTATGTTCTGTAGAAGAGCCATGTGTCATAGAATGCTGATGAGACAGATGAATTCAGTTTTGTGAAGGAGTTAACTTTCATAGAAGTTTCAGAGATGAAACTTAGTGAATATTTTGGATTTTGTCACACCTGATTTTCATCACATGTGCTTTTAAACTATTTGTAACTTTTGACACTTTCTTAGCAATCCATTCGTTGTTATTTTCTCAGAGAAATGTGATTATTAGAAAGTCTATATACAAATATTAGCATAAAAACATTTTATCTGTCATTGTTAATATATCTTTGAGGCAGAGTTCTAGCACAATGGTACAGAGCCAGCTATTAACAGAGATGAATAGGAAGGAGTCTTCTCAAGCAGTCTGTTAGAAAAAAAGACAGAAGGGCTATGAGTAGATAAAGGCACATGAAATCCAAAGAACTGATCATAGAGGTCATGGTATATTTTTAAAACACAGTAAACTTGATGCTGAGTCTTTATGTTAGATTCTAAAATGACTTGGTTTACTAAGAATAAAGAGAATCTATAATCATCTATTTTTCTATAATACATAATTAACTCAGGACCTTCAGTGTGACATTTGGAAGTTGTACATATCTCTTTTTCCCTTTTACACTTCTCTTCTTGTTTGCCTATTTTTCTTTTCCATTTTTTTCCCCTTTGTCTATTTCCTTAAATCTATTCATTGTGTTGGGTAGTTTCTGTTAACTCAAACTGGGAAGAGTCAGCTGGGGAGAGAGAACCTCAATTGAGGATTTTTCTTTATCAGGATTGGCCTGTGGCTATGTTTATGGGGATAGTTTCTTAATTTCTAATTGGTGTAGGAGGGCCCAGCCCATTGTAGGTGGTATCATCCCTAGGCAGGTGGGCTTGAGCTCTATAAGGAAGGTAGCTGAGCAAGCCAAGGAAAGCAAGCTTGTAAGTAGCATTCCTCCATGGGCTCTGCTTGTTCCTGCTTCTACGTTCCTGCCCCGATTCCCTCAGTGTTGGATTGTGACCTGGGAGCTGTAAACTGAATAACCCCTTTCTTCCCCAGATAGCTTTTGCTCCGTGTTTTATCACAACAGAGAAGCAGACTAAAACAACCATGATCTGAATTCATCCTCATTTTTCTTAGTTTTTTTCCCAAGCGTATTTGATAAGGTTTGATAGTTTTAAATTTATTCTTAAATTAGTGTATAATTTAAATTATTTCTTTGCTACAAATTGTTTTTGGAGTATTTGGAAGGATTATCAGTTGCAATAACTTAGTAATATCATAGTTTGTCTTCTTTACCTTTTTGATTGATTGTTTGCTTACCTTCTTAGTTCTGTTTACTCCCAAGTGCTCTAGAAACTCGAGGTATTTGTTAATAAAGGTCTGTACAACTGGTACTAATCACTTTAGTGAATCTTGTCTGTCTTCCTTGTGTTTTTGTTGTATCCTAGAACCAGTGTGTTCCTTGGTTAAGGGATGATGTATTTGTTTCATTTGTAGGTAGCAGAATTTTCCTAATTCCCTACATGAAGTGATTTAACAGATCTTTGTAGAATAAATACATGAATCTTTCCCCAGTATTCAGTTTAAACCTTTACTTACAGTATGTATACCTCAATTAATGTTAACATACTGTGTTTATTTACTTTCTTACTGTTACAGTTTTCAACAAAACTAAACCTATGTTGGCATATAACTCAACATGCCAGCATACATGCATATATGTCCATTTATTTAGGTCTTATATATACATAGAGACTGCTTAAGAAGCATCTGTATTCATTTTGCAGTCTATTTCTCATTTTTGTGTACCAAGAAGTTTCAGTCACCATATTTATCTTTTCCACAGAAAATGTTTTGTCTTTATCTTTTCTGCAGAAGAAAGCCTGGGGATTTTTCTAGTTTTTCTTCTACAAAGATCTCTTCCTAGTCTACTGACATCTTTTGTTTTGTTAAACTACTGTTTTCATGTCCTCTGATCTGCTGCTTGACTCCTTGTTTTTGTTTTACAGCTTTACATCCTGTAAATTTTTGCTGCTTTTGTGATTACTGAACCCAGTGCCATAAATTTACTTTAGTTGATTTGTATTCACATCTAATATAGATAAAGGCATAGGCTTTGTTATGGAAATATTTTCAAAGTATGAATAATATAATGTCCTTTCTTGAATCCACCATCTATTTTGCCATATAATCTTACTCCTCTTTTTTCTGTTTGTCTGTCTGTTGGTCTCTGTGTCAGATACAGTTGAACTCCTTTGCTATTTTTTGTTGCTAATTCCTTCGGGAATGAGTGCCCTTTGAAAGTGGGTGTCTATGATTTTTCTAAATGCTTCATTTTGGGGCGGGGGGGACTTCTTGAGACAGGGTCTCCCTGTAGTGGGACCGGCTGTGACACAGATGGCAGTGATGCTTGTGCCATGCTGGTGTTCTTAAACCAGCTGTAATTTTTGACTTTGTTACAGTAAGAATTCTATTGGTTGGTGAATTTTTTCCTTCCTCTATTAAACTAATTCCTTAATGTATTGAAAAGAATTAAAAAATATACACACACACACACACACACACACTACACACACACACACACACACACACACACACACACATATATATATATATTTTGTCTTTTTGAGACAGGGTCTCCCTTTATCTCCAGCTGGCCTGGAACTTACTATGTATACCAGGTTAGCCTTGAACTCATAGAGATCTGTCTGCCTCTGCCTCCTGAGTGCTGGGATTAAAGGTGTGTGCCACCACACCTGGCAAAAAAAAGAATTATATTTTTTAAATCAAGAATTGTTTGTAAACTGATAGTTTTGCTGAAGCAGTGTTATTGTACTGTTTTTAAAAAGTGTGAGAAAGGGCTTGAAAATGTTGGTCTACAGCTTTTTACAAAGGTTGAGGAGGTAGGACACCATAGAGGCCTTATTAAAGGAGTCAAGTGCTCTAAGAAGCCTGCAGAGTACTTGTTTTGGTATGGTGGCTTGACTCCAATGTTGATAGGGAACCTGTTTGAGCATGTACACCACAGCAGTTCTTCATGACTTTGGGATCCCTTTCACAGTTTTAGTGTTTTAGAGGAACCGAATAACTTTTAGTCTTCCCCCCCCTTCAGTCTTTTTGAGATAGGGTTTCCCTGTAGCCCCAGCTGTCCTGGAACTCACTATGTAGACCAGGCTGGCCTTGAACTCACAGAGATCCGCCTGCCTTTGCCTCCCAAGTGCTGGGATTAAAGGTGTGCGCCACCATGCCCGGCTATCTTTTTATATCTACTTAATGTTTATCACATGAAAAGTTAATCCTGAAACACTTGAAAATATTTAAGATTGCTGTAAGCCTAATACACCTCATATGCATGAAAGTAACTTGTCCAATGACATTTTAAACATGTCTTGTTTAATGGAAGGCAGATGGGCTTCCATATCTGTTTCCATATTCCCTCTGTAGCAGTGTCATGCTATCTAGCTTGTGTGCTTGTGAGAGAATTAAGTGTTTCAAGACATTAAATGCTTTAGTATGGTTGTCAACGTAATGTTGACCTCACAAATTACCAATTTTTAAAAAACCTAAGAAGCAGTTCTTTAAAATGAAGTACACGTTAAAGCTAGTTAATTTTTTATTTCATGTGATAATTTGAAGGAATATTTAATAATGGAAATGATTTGATAAATGTTTATTTTCTAGAATATGTGTTCCTTTTTCTAAGAATTTCATGCAGATAAGAAATGAATGGTATTGGTCAGTCTGCTGCTGCTGTTCTTGCATTATTTATCTAAAGCAAATGAACAGAGGTAGAAAATAATGCTTGCTTTGAGACAAAGCGATGCTTGTTCTTTTCTCTTGTTAGTGTTGCTTTAGCTTTTCAATTAGTTGTTTTTTTTTTGTTTGTTTGTTTATTTAACATAACCAGTATGGTAGACTCCAGCATTTGTCCTTAGAAATCATGCTTTTAGTTATCAGTAATTAGGTATTTTGAAATATTTATCAAATACCGTGTAGTAATAATTATTTCCTTTTAAAGCATCAAAATTTTGAAGAACAAATGCAAGGCATGAAGACCCAGTTAATTCAGCTGAGTACCTTACTTCGATTATTGGACAGTGGATTTTGTAGCTACTTAGGTAAGTTTAGTGAGCTGTACACACCAAGTTGTAGGGTAATAGCTGGGAACATGCAAAGGACTCTTTTAAAGAGAAAAATGTGCTACTCCTGCTACCCAAGTTCCTCTAAAGAGTGACAGTATAAAGATCAAGCTGAGTTTGTAGAATTCTGTCCTAAAACATTTTAGTCATTTGTTTGGTGGATTTAGAAATAAGTTATCCTGTAAATTTGAATTGTTTCCTTGAATTGGTAAAATACAATCAAATATATAAGGTTTCTAATTATCTAGGATGTATAGAAAAATTTTGAGTGTGATGAAGGCTCCTGTGTTTGGACCTATTAGCTTAAGAATAAACCATGTGTTTTTTTTTCCTTCTGTATAGAATCTCAGGACTCTGGATATCTCTATTTTTGCTTCAGATGGCTTTTAATCAGATTTAAAAGGGAATTTAGTTTTCTAGATATTCTTCGGTTATGGGAGGTAAGTTCTTACATTTATTATGGGAAGAAACATTTTATTTTATGTGGAATATAAGTAGATTCTCCTACTTTTACTGAACTTGCTCAAGGAAGTGGATTTTAAAACTCAGTTGAATTTGTAATCTCCCTGTAACAGTTAATGATCTCAGATGTAATACCTGGTCTTTTGAAATTTTTATTCAAATCACAGTTCTCTGAGGTTTGAGGCCAAGAAGTATCCCAGAAAGAGTTCCCTAGACCTTTTTTTAAAAGACAGTTCTGGCTGGCCTGGAACTTAGACCATGTTGGCTTCGAACTCACAGAGATCCATCTACCTCTGCCTTCTGAGTGCTGGGATCAAAGGTGTGTACCACCATGCCAGCCTGCTGACTATATTCTTTCTTTGGTAGACTTGACTTTATGTTATGGGAGGCTGCTACATTTGCATTCAAGAAGGTTTTGGTGGGCTGCTTAGTTGAATTGGCACTTTAATTTATAGATCGAGGTATTAACTTTATTTTTAAGAAAGGTGTAGTTGTCTTTAATTACTACCCCAGTTCCATTTCTCTCTTACTGTAATGGAAATTATTATTATTACTATTTATATTTTTATGTGCATCCATTTATTCCATTTTTACCAAAGAGAAAGTGAAAAGCAGAAAATTACTAGTTTATTCTCCAGTATCTACTAATAACAGATCAGTATGCTTTTTAAAAAGCACAATACCAGTATAATGACTGCTTGGTACTTTATCTTAAATCTAAAAATTAAGGAATGACAAAAATTTTACCAAGAAAAGAATGTGAAGATAATTCATTTTAGTAACAACCTGTGGTGGAACTCTACTTTTTTTTATTTATTTTTTTGGTCTTTTTGAGACAGGGTCTCCCTGTAGCCCCAGCTGTCCTAGAACTCACTATGTAGACCAGGCTGGCCTTGAACTCACAGAGATCCGCCTGCCTTTGCCTCCCGAGTGCTGGGATTAAAGGCGTGCGCCACCACGCTGGAATTGAATTCTGTGCTATGGACTCGGATGACTGTACTACCATTGATAAGACTGGATGCTACTGGAAGATTACTGCTTTACGTTTCTTCTGTTCTGCATGGATTAAAATCTAAATGGGCATTGAATTGGATATATTAAATTAATATCTGAACTACTACTTTTTTTTTTTTTTGGTCTTTTTAAACTCAGTTCCACCTGCCTCTGCCTCTTAAGTGCTGGGATTAAAGGCGTTTGCCACCACACCCAGCTAGAAGCTGAACTTTTTTAAAGATCAATTAAAAAATACTGTTACCACACACTGGAATAACTCTTCAGTCTGCATCTGTGTTTACCAAATAGCCTGAAAGTTTTTTTTTTCTCTTTAAAAAAATATATAGTATTTTTATTTGTTCTTGAGAATTCCAGAAGTGTATACAATGTATTTTAATCATATCTGTCTTCTCTTCCCTCTTCAACTTCCCATGGACCTCTGCAACACATGGACCTCTGTAACACATTCCTGTCCAAATTTCATGTTCTCCTCTTATTTTTATTTTTAATAACCTAACGAATCCAATTAGTGCTACCTATGTGCCCATGGTTGGGGAGCCATTCACTACAGCATGATAACTTGTAAGTGGCTATATCCCAAAGAAAAATACTCTGCCTCCCCAGTAGCCATCAACTGCGAAAAGCTTCTCAGCTAGGGGTGCGTTCTGAGCCCCTCTCCTATCTATGCTTCACCTGAAAGTTTTAATGAAATCTTTGAGGTTAATTACATTGTAATTATGGATTGTTTAAAAATTATTCAACTTGATTTATTTCTTGTGAAAGAAGTAAAAACATTTCAGATGAGCTCTACTATATTATGTGGCTCTTTATATATTCCAAGTAACGATATCAAAGACCTTACCAGAGGGGGAAACAAAAGGTTCTAAGTTTGTTGACATTACCCATATTTAGGATAAAGTGTAACTATTGATCAGATATTCATTTATTGGGTATAAATGTTGGGTAGTTAGTTTTTGTTGGAATCAGGGCTGTTCTTGAGTTATAATGTGATATCAAATTTTTACATGTTTAGAATGTAGATGTATCTCTGGGTGTTTCTGACCCTGTGTACTGTAGTTAAGCCCATTTTTATTTGTAGGGTTTAGGTCTCCCTTAATTTTTCTGAGGACTGCAAGATTTGTAAGTGAGAAACTGGAAGTTCAGAAAAACATTGAAAATGGATTTAGCCCTCACACTTGAAGCTTCATCTTCTGAATATGGCTCATTAGTAACATATTATCAGTCACTTACTGTAGTTACTCTAGAGCCACATTTGAAGTATATCATACATCAAACTTGACTTTAGTTACTTGTAGCTAAAAGTAAGACTCCTTTGCTCTTCATTGGCTAGGTAGAAAATTGGATCATCCCAACTAAGCATGTTCATTGCTTCAAAGTTCAGCATTGCATCTTTGAAGAAAATATTTTAGAATGAATTTCATTTACTGATAACTCCTCTTCTTCTTTTTTTTAAACAGGTAATGTGGACTGAACTACCATGTAAAAATTTTCACCTTCTTCTCTGTTGTGCTATCCTGGAATCAGAAAAACAGCAAATAGTGGAAAAACATTATGGCTTCAATGAAATACTTAAGGTAGTTACTCCTTCACCTTGAATTGTAGAATTTTGGTTCTTTGTTTGGTGTTCCTCATACACACAGTGGTTCTTTGGAGTGTTACTGAATCCCATGAGTAATGTATGTTCTGTTACTAACACGTAGTTCTGGACTGCCTTTCTGAGAATGATACATCAACAAATACATATTGGTCAGTTATTTTTACCTGGCTATTTGGGAAGAAAAGTAAATTCAACAAATGCTCTTTTATGTAGTTTACCTTTTGAGAAAATTGTCTTTTGCCACTAATGAGATAGAAGACTTGAGATGGCTGCTAGATTTAATGTGCTGTAAGCTTACTAACTATTCTGTCTTTAAAATTTGAAATAATCTAAGATGTATTGGACATACTGTGGATTTGTGAATATTTCTATATTAATGGTTTTACCTGCAGTGTAATATAGTTGGTAATAAATTATTTATGTAGTAAAATGTAGAGCTTTCAGTTTTGATTATCATTTTGTTGATTTTTCTTTCTTAGCATATCAATGAATTGTCCATGAAAATTGATGTGGAAGATATACTGTGCAAAGCAGAAGCAATTTCCTTACAGATGGTAAAATGCAAGGTACATAGTGTTGCAAATAATTGCAAGACCTGCCCCCCTCTTGTTCAGCTAAGGAAAGATTTTCTTACATGTAAAATAAATGAAGTTAGAAAACTTGAAGGCAGACAGAAAGCATTGTAGAATTACAGCTCTTAATGAAAACAGCTGACTAATTATGACAGATTGGAAACATTTAATAGCAAAAATGGCCAGAGTAATGAAGGTATTTCTATAGCTTAAGAGGCTATAGAACTTAGGCAGTGATACATTACCCAATTTAATGAGTAGAGAATAAGATTTTTTTTTTCATCTTTTTGAGACAGGGTCTCTCTGTAGCCCCAGGTGGCCTGAAACTCACTATGTAGACGAGGCTGGCCTTGAGCTCACAGAGATCCACCTGCCTTTGCCTCCCAAGTGCTGGGATCAAAGGCGTGCACCACCATGCCCTGCAGGATCTCTTCTTAAATTTTCGGTATCTACTGGTTAAGATAGGTGCTAATCAGAAATGAATGGGTGATAGTTTATCTCATTGCATTTGTATCAGTCAGGTTCTTGTTTCTAAAAACAAGGATAAATGGGATCAAACCAAGTCAGTATACTTTGGATGTAGTTTGGCTTTTTCATTTTCAAAAGAATTCTTTCAGCTTCGTATCATTTGTTCATGGTGTCAAACAGTTACTTAGTTTAGTTCTACAGACATGCATTGGAAACTATTCTGTTCTAAAACATGTCAGTGAGATTATTTTGAACCTCTGAGAACTAGTATTTACTGAGGAGAGAGATAAATATTATAAAAAAGGAGAAAGGTAAATTCTAAATGTTAGAAAACTATCTGTAGCTGGATGTGTTGATACATACTTGTAAACCTAGGACTTGGGAGGTGGAGGCATGAGGATCATGAGTTTGAGGCCAGCTTCAGCTACATAGTGAATTTGAGGCTAGCCCGGGTACATCAGATCCAGTAGATTTAAGGATAAGAACCAAAGAAAGCAGGCAAACAGCAGCAGCAAACCCAAGGAAAACACTGTACTGTTCTACTGGGATGGAGTGGAGAGCAATTAACTTGGATGAGGTCCAGGAACCACTTCAACTTAGGGGAGTGTGCTGGATAACTTCAGTTGTCAATTTGACACACCTGGGAAGAGGGAACCTCAAGTGGGGAATTTCCTCCATGAAATTGGCAGTGGCTAAGTCTATGAGGCATTTTCTGACTGTTAAGTGATATGGGAGACCAGCTCACTTCAGGTGGGGTCACTCTTGAGCAGGTGGTTCTGGGTTATATAAGAAAGCAGGCTGAACACAGACCAGAGGAACAAGCCAGCAAGCAGTGTTCCTATGTGGTCTGTGCTTCAGTTTCTGATTCCAGGTTCCTGCCCTGAGTTCCTGCCTTGACTTCCCTCAAGGATAAATTGTGATGGGGTGTGTAAGCCAAATAAACTCTTCTTCCTCAAGTTGTTTTTGGTCATAGTGTTTTTATCACAGCAACATAAAGCAAACTAGGATGGAGGAATGGGTTTATTCGTTTTGCAGGTTACAATTAATCATTGAGGGAGTCAGCAGGAACTCATATGGCAATGTGAAGCAGAAACCATGGAGGAATGTTGCTTACTGGCTCATTTCAAGGCTATGTTGAACTAGCTTTATTTAAATTTTTACTATTTTTAATTGTGTGTTTGTGTGGGACTGTATGCACACATGAGTGTGCATGTCACTGCCCATGGGAACCAGTGGCATGAGATGCCCCTGGAGCTAGAGTTACAGGCACTTGTAAGCCACAGGACATGGGTGCTGGGTAAAGAATGCAGATCCTCTGCAAGAGCAAGGAGAGCTCTTAACTGCTGAGCTATCTCTCCAGCTCCCTCACTAGCTTTCTTATACAACCCAGAACCACCTGCCAGGGAATTATGTGGCCCACAGTGGCCTGGGTCCTCTTACATCAGTTAACAGTACTCCACAGACATGCCCATAGGCCAGTCTGATCTGGGAAATCCCTCAATTGAGACCCCCTTTCTCAGATGACTTCTAGGATATGCCAAAAAGCTAACTAGGACAACTTACGAAACAAAATAGATGCTTAGGATTTCACTTAGAGTAGGGAATGATTTGAGAAGGATGTGGGATGTTTGCGCTGCTGAAAGTCATACTGGTCTTAAATAAAGTGTTACTTTATGAATACTTTTCCTTAATAGTGAGTAATGATTTGATGTTTGATTTTTCATACTCAGGAATTACCACAGGCGGTTTGTGAGATCCTGGGACTCCAAGACAGTAAAGTTATAACACCAGATTCAGACACTGGTGAAGATGAAAATGTTTGCATCACTTGTCCTACGTCTGCATTTCAGAGTAACACCTTGCCCGTCCTTGCTGCCAGCGATGCCAAAGAGGACAGCCAGACACAGACATTAATGTCCCCAAATGCCAGCAGATTAACACCTGCATGATCATTTGTCTTACTTTTTTTTTTCTTTTTTTTTTAAGAGATGCTTTGTTGCAACTCCTTTTTAAGTATGTGAAAGGTGGACATTTACAATCTGGTATTGATCATGCTTTAAGGTTTATGGAAAGACAGTGTACTGATGTTCTTGCATTAAAGCTTTACAAAGTTTTAAACTAATTATTTTTGTAGTTACTTATACCAAATAGCCTTTCCTTTTCAATAACATTCCTTAGTATTTTTATAGCCAAGTACATTTTATTTTGTTGCTGATAAACTGGAATTGGACAAGTATTATAAGTGAATGCTTTGGAAATTATGCACTTTGAAAAACATTCACTTTGTTTACTCTCTAGTGGGCTTTGGGTTTGATTAAATTAAATGTTTAGCCTTTATAATAGCTTCCTAAGCTGAGAAGTAGATTGTTACCCAGTGATGAAATAAAAAATATAAGCGATTTTTTTTCTATTGTTTACAACAATATTCAGCTTAAATATTTATGCTGGTTGAATGTGGTTTAAATTGGACATTTTCACCAGTTCATTTAATATGTAGATAAAGAACTATTTCGACCATAGCGAGTGGATTGGTGATATATTTTTTACAATGAAATTTTCTTCACTTGTATATGGACTATATATAAGCACTATTTATGAGTATAAGAAAGAATAGTCATATTTTCTTTAACTGAATAAACTTGACTATTGATTTATATAACCTGATTCAACAAAATTAATACATGGCTTCAATGTGAGATCTTTTTCAAAACTATTTTCTTAACATTTATTTAATGAGACTATGTTTAACCCTATCTATACTTGGTATAATTTTTAAATTAATTACTGTAACCTCACTTTACTAATAATGTTTATTATCTTTCCTAATAATGCATTAACTGGTTAATCAAATCTTTAAATTTTTATAAAATATTCTTTGCAGAAAGCTTATGTCAAAAATTTCAAGACACTGTCATGAGTCTCAAAGTAATATTTTTTGTATATGAATGAAGCTGTTTTTGCCATGCAGTACTGCATGATTTTTAAGTTAAGTGGAATTAGCATAACTGATTCCTTTTTAATTGTAATTTGTAAACTCCTGTACATATCATTAAAATAAATTCAAAGCTGCAATAGTGTTTTTAGTTAAATTGCACATAGAAATTGCTGGTTCTTCATTAGAAAAACTCACAGTGGACCTCAATATTTCACATATTTTTCTGTTATTGAAATAATTATTTCAGTGAGTTGTAGAAGTGATAAACACAATGACTCCTTTTACACCTGAAAACATTTTTCATCAGTTTAAAAATGGGCACAGTGTGCCTTGAAGGACATCATTATCTGAGTCAGTGAAGCAGCTTGATGCTAATAGTGGTCCTGTTCTAAAATGGTCCAGCAGATAGATTTTTCTTTTCTTTCTCAGAAAGTAAGGGAACCAAAGGAAGTTTTTCCTCAGTTGAGTATTATTTGACAGTCGTGACAGTAGAACCATTAGAGTTTTAGTTTTTAATATCATGTTATCTTTTATCAGTTAATAATGAGTAAGCCTGTTTAGAAAAAAAAAGTAAGCTGATCCGAAGCTCAGCGTCTCCAGTTTTTCATTTCCTGCTACTCAGGAAATTGCTTGGAACATCTTGATGTCCTCCTTGTTCTTCCTGGACAGTGGGTGTTTGGTCTTTTTCTATGTAATACACTATCTACTTCAGTTTTTTAAAAATTTTAATATGTTTAGTAAGTTGAACTTTTGTCAAGTTTTGTTATAAAGTTGCTTGTTAAAACATTTTTACCAGACAGTATGCATTTCTGTCTAGCACATTTTTGATATGGAAATGATAGTGCATTAGAGTGGTAAAGTCTTTATTAGCCCACAAAATACAGTTAGAAAATACCAAATAAAGTTGAGCTATTGAGATTGTTTATGTAATTCAGGTAAACTTAGTGTAATGTTTGAAAATTTTATTTCAGTTTTCACACAATGATCATTTGTACCCCTATAATATAGAAGAGATGTCACACATCATATGATACATAAAGGCGTTAAAATTCAGACGGTTTCTAATTGTAACTGTTAGTGTATTTTCAATTTTAGTATGAGTATGGGAAACAGCCTTGCATTTAAGAGCACCCCTGTTTTGTTCATTTAATGTTTCTAGAGTCTTCATCTTTTGATATGTAGAGCACTTTAGTCTTGGTAATTAGAGACTACATCTTTTTTGAACAGGCCTTTTAGGAGAATGATTCTTACTGAGCTTGACAATGCCCAGAGGTGGTTTTGTTTTGTTTTTTAAGATTTATTATGTATCTATATGTGTGTGTCTGTGTGTACACATTTGTGTGCAGGTACCTATGGAATCCAGAAGAGGGGTCAAATCTAGAGCTGGAGTTACAGACAGTTGTGAGCCCCCTGCTATGGGTGCTGGAAACTAAATTCAGGTTCTCTGGAATTGCTCTTAACTGCTGAGCCATCTCTCCAGCCCTAGCCCAGGGTCCTGAGTAACTCTTACAGGGGAGATGCATTGTGCACATTATGAAAGATAGATTGTAGAAGACAACCCGTAATATTTGTGGACTTGTGTACATTGATGTTCTGAGGTAGCATTGTTCGGCATGAGCATCTCCTAACTTGGGTACATTACTTAATAGAATAACACAATTTATGACTCATGCTAATAATAGTATGTGCTGAATTCCAGTTAAAATATTGAGTGTTCATCTCCAGTTCTGTATTATCAAAATACATGCTTAAGTTCTTCAGACCTACTGAATCAGAATCTTTGAAAGTGATACTAAGAAATCTATATTTCAGCAGGCATCCACATGGTTTCCTGAGTTCTCCTGAAGTTAAAAGATAACTAATATATATTGTATTTCTTGAGTTAACATTTTGATTGATGGTCAGACAAATCCTTAATTTTCTTAAGAATAATTTATTAAATTTCTCATGTGGGTTTGCTAGTTCTACTTGCCTTTTTTTGTTGTCAAGAAGTGATAATCATCTCTGCCTATTTTATGTAGATTATCCCCCTGATTTTTTTTAAAGCGTATTTTTTAAAAGACCAATGTAATATTTTACACACACACACACACACACGTGTGCGCACACGTGTAGTGTCCTCAGCATTCAGTCATGAGAAAAATGGTAAGAGACTGAATTTATAGCCTGATGTGGTGGTGCACACCTTTAATCCCAGTACTCAGGAGGCAGAGGCGGGTGGATCTCTGTGGGATCAAGGCTGGCCTGGTCTACATAGTTTCAGGCCAGCTGTGGCTACAGGGAGACCCTGTCTCAAGATTAAAAAAAAAAATTGCTAAATTTGTATTCCTGAAAAAGATGCATTTAATTATACCACCTTCATAAGAACAGTTCCTTTGAGATCTTCAAACCTCTGCACGGCATTGAAGAAGTGTTAGCACAGAGCATTCTCCACAATGAAGAGTATCACAGCAGTGTGTAGTGTAAGAGGTAGATGGGATTAGCCGGAGGACCATGGAAAGCCCAAGGGCCTAGCTGGGTGGCCCTAGTTGTAGAGTGTGGGCAGTGGACTGCATAACAGGCAGCCATCACTCCTAGAGGTTCAGGCCCAGGAAGGGTGTTGGTCACTTTACTGGGTGCTTTGCCCAAGTCACTTTCCATTGCTGCTGCTGCTTCCATGGTTTCCTAGTCATCTGTGCTTGCTTTCAAACCATCTCTGTGATCTCAGTCTTCATCTCTTTGGACAGCTCACATGGTGACCTTGATTTCTGGAATCTTGACAAGACTACATGGCCTTCATCATGCCTGTGTTTTTCTGCAGGTAACCAGCCACTTGCAGAACCACAAGCTGGTTCTTCATTCCCATGAACATGGAGATCCTACATGCTTTGGATGTATAGAGCTTGCTCACAGCCTCCCTTGTCCTGATCTACTTGGCCAGAACCAGACATCCTTTGGACCCTTGGCTGCATCTTTCACAGATTGTTTCTCCTACTCTTCTCTTTGGATGTTCTTGATTGCCTAGCAACAATTCTCATTTTCTTTTTTGACTGACCATTCACTGGCCATCTGTTTAAGTGGCTTCTTGTGGTTTTTTTTTGTTTTTTTTGTTTATTTTCCCAAACAGAAACCCCCATGTACTGAACTGTCTTTCCATCCTCCACTTAGATGGGACACAGGCCTTTTTTTTGCTGAGTCGCATAAGGACTTTATTTTGAACCCAACAACACGTATACTCCTTGAGACAGCATCACAGGAGACTTGTCTCCATGTATTGTTGAATCACATGCATTTGCTAAGAGACCAGTGCCACCCATAGGGATTCTGAGATGGCAGCTAACAACTTGACTCCTATTGCCAAGAGAATGTTGATCCCTTTGCTTCACCTGATCCCCTGGAACATTCTGCCTAGTTTTCTGAGAAATTCCTTGTTCCCTTTGGCTAATCTAGGAAATAGGAATTTGCAGGCCTCAACTTTTGCCCAAGCCAAGGCCAAGCAAATCAAGAGGACACCGTTGAACACACTTGCTCACATTTTTAATAAACATTGTTAAACAGCCTGTATTTTAGAGAATTTAGGCCTTGCTCTTTTATGAGAGTTAGATTTTCTATGTTACCATAAAGATGGACTTTCTGACAAATATTTCCTCCTTTTAGTCTTAGGGAGTTAATAGTTGCAGGATTAGAAAGTACATTGGACATGCTGGATTTAGTCTTTGAGCTCTGAGATAGGAAAATCACACTCCAGGAAAGTCATAGTGAGCTTGTTTCTTCCACAGCACAGCAGTGAGAGCAGCCAGGCCAGCTCCAGCTTGCTGTAGATCATCACAGACATGGCTCTTGGCCTTGTGCCATGATTTCTGTGATAGCAATAAGGTATGGTAGGCCAGGAGACTTTGCTCAGCTCACACTGCTGAGGCAGGATACCTGTCCCCCTCAACATTTTGAAGAAAAACTTTTAGCATGAAACAGTTCTATTTGGAATGAATCTCATCATTGGTGCTTATCAGTGGTAATGCTTGTCTGATACTATGCATCTGCAGTTGTACTTTTAATTGAATACGCTACCATCTTGGTGCCACTGCATCTGTCCTATTCTCTGTGGTCCTTTTTATAGGTATTTGTAGTGTGAGTTTGGGGGCGATTATTTTAATTGCTGATATTTCCCTTGCTATTTTGTGTCTACCTATTCATCTTGAGATTGGGAAAAACTGTTGTGCTTAAGTGGAAAAGTGGGAGGAAGGTGGAGTTTGTACTGGAAATTGCATCTTTTTAGAAAATATATTTTCAAGCTCTTCCCCATGGGAAATTACATTATGTTTATGAACTCACTATACAGAAAAATTATAGTCAAAGTCTTAAAAAATCTATGAGGAGTATCATCTTTGCCTAATTTGATTCAATATCTATCTTAGACTGGGATGTCAGAATAGTAGGAAGTAAACTAGTTAATGTCTTCCCTGCAGTATTGGACTGGAGATGCAACTCAGTTGACAGGGAGTTTTCTTAGCATGCATGCTGCCCTGGGCTTGATCCCTAGAACCACATAAGCCAGGCATGGTGGTCCACACTTGGGACATGGTGGTCCAGCACTTGGGACATGGTGGTAGGAGATCAAGAGTTCAAAAATCATTGACTACATAAGGCGTTTGAAGCCAGTCTGTATTACGTGACTCAAAAAAACAAAAACTACATTGCTTCTCATTTCCTTTTGTGTTTATAAAAACCCCGATGGAATGAAAAGTATACATCCCAAATAAACTTAACTGACCAGTGAGCATAGTGGTCTCTATTCAGCTTTTTATTTTTATTTTTGAGACAGGGCCTGACTGTGTATCTCAGATTGGCAATCCTCCTGCCTTGGCTACTGAGTGCTGGCATTACAGACATGCATCACCATGCCCAGAGTTTGCTTCAACCTCATAAATTTAAAATATTAACCTCAGTGATGTACTTTTGCTGTGATGGTTGATAATAGATATTTCCAACATAGTCTGATTGGAAGTATATAACCCAATAGGTTAGTAGACTGCTTTAAAAATAGAAAGATGGCTGTTTTCAAACTGCTTCATATGTGTGATTTGACTGTACAGGGGCTAGAATCTTTTCCAGGGGTGTCACTGATTGACTTATAAAGCAAATTGTCCAGTGTGGAGCC